ATGACTCAGCATGACTCGGCATCAGTCAAATGCTATGTCACCATGGCTGCTTATGATGTCCTGCTATTCTCCACATTGTACATTTTCCCCTGGGACTCCTTCCTAACATAAAGTTAATTACTTAAAGGCTGATGAAGATTTTAAAACCCCACCACATCATTATCTTAGCTATTTAACAATTGATCTACAGGAATTCTAAAAGATGTTTTAAAAAGAAATTGTTATTTTTTAGGAATTTTTTAGGAATTTTTTAATTGCACTACTTGGTGTTGGAATATGGGTGGGTTATACAGTCAAAGGTGAAATGTAAAGATGTGTGTGTGGAATTTTCCTCATGAGAACAGCATCTAGAGAAACAAAGAGAACATGGTCCAGGCAGCCAGAGAAGTCATAACATGAGCAGTTTTTAGCTGGGAAACAGATAGTGAAATTCAAACAGCATTAGGTCATGGGAAAAGAGTCACATGGGTAGATGATGGACAGCAAGGGGCTGGGCTAAAACACATCATACAGGCATTATCCAATCAGCATAAGTTTAACACTCAGAAAGTGGAGTAAGGGCAGGGCTGAGAGATCCCTTTGTCTAGAATGTTTATAATTCATGTATTATTGTGTGTGTGTGTGTGTGTGTGTGTGTTCACAATGGTTTTCACTATGGAGTTAGTTTTTGGACTATAATGTGCTTATATTGCTTTTATAATGTAACTCCTGGATCTAGAAACATGGATCTGTAACTTTTCTTTTCTACCACATCAGCAAAATGTGATCCTATGATTGAGTGTATGTTTTTCTTTGCTTATTTTTATTTTATGGAACAATAAAGCTCTACTTTAGATATACATGATTTTGTCTGCATGCTTTCAACATGAGAAGGCTGATGAAGGAAGCTGGTTTCCTAGGCTCTGCTGCATTTCAAGCACACCACACCAATTAATCAACACTTGGGACAGATACACTCATAGTTTTTCTCTTAAGTCGTAAGTATAATTCAAATTGGTACCATTTATTAGTCTGGAATGTTCCATGTAATAAGCTTGTTGTGAGGCCAAAAGTGTCCAATAACTCTAGTTCCTCCCCTTCTACTCATTTTCTCCTCTTTACTTCAACCTACCCCAATTTCTTCATATTTTCTCCTTTGTCTAGCCAGAATACAGGACAATGATTGTGGACTGCACTATGGATTCATAGATTTTATGCAAGTCCATGTAGGACCTGTCATGTCACATCATGAGAACTCAGAGAAGGATGCATCACTCAGGGACCCATCACACCTCACACTGGTAGTTCCAAGACAAAGGATGTTGCTTTACTAGATTCTTTGCACTTGGAGTTTCTGATCAGCACTCCTTACTATCACCACACCACATAAGAAAGAAAATGGAAAAGCAGGCAATAGCCCTCCAATTAACACAAATGACCTGGGGGAGGGTAATAAACTAGCCAAACCAGGCAATTTGCAAAAGGTTTTCTGAAGCCTTTTGCCTGCTGCTAAGAAAACAGCTATTGCAGGTTGAAATTCAGCCAATTTCCACCACAGCAATTGGTCTGAGTCCAGCATAGTCTATCCTTACTATTTGGAACACAACTCTTCTATATTAGTAGGTGTTACTCTTTTGTGTTTTCCAGTAAGTGTCACTGCTTTGACTCCCCTCTTGAACTGAGTTAGGCCACAACAATAGCCCCCTTTTGGCTGATGTAGCTAGAAGGAGGATAAGAAATCAGAATCATGCTCTGTTCTCTCTCCAACCAGCACACATACAAACTGCATAGAGGCATGTATGTTGCACTAGGGATGTTTTTTAAATTCCCAGATGGTGAATACAAACCCATTCATGTAGGATCTGGCTGTAGAGTGTATCATATGCTTGAGCATCCCAGTCAAAGCCAGTGGGCACAGTCCTTCCTAGCTGCACTGATTCACCCTATCTATGCTTTGTGAACATGAATTTTCTCCCCTTGATTTATCTTCCACATTTTCTATAACTGCTGCAAAGTAACTTCTAATCCATGCTGTAGAAAGAGCACAGCAGAACTCAGGTTGTGCTGTCTGCCTGTCTGAACCTGCTGTCTTTAACAGAAAAATAAATAAATCACATCCTATTGATTTTGATTCCCCCTCCTTCATCTCGCTGTGACAGAAAGGCAGTTGTCATTCTCTTATAATCACTTCTGATATTTCTTTTGGTGTGTGTCAAAAGGTAAGCTGCAAATATAGTGAATGTCAGACTTCACAGGAAATGGCTCCCCCATACACACTACAGACATTTTGATACATGTTTAATAGAACTTGTAACAGGTTCATTGGCTGTACACAAAGTTGCAAATTACCTAGATGGCTGTGAAATTAGTAGCGTATGCTTTTCACCAAGGAAAGTGTTAGCTTCACCAATCATAGCTGCCACTTCATATATGAGTAACCGTAAAGTATACAGTCTGTGCATTGCCTTCCATATTGGGTAGCTAATTACATGTTTGCTAGGCTTTAACCTGTATACAGGAAGTCTCAAGTTCATTTCCTGGCATCTCTAGTTAAAGGGGAATAAAATAATAATAATACAGTTCTATAAATGTGGGAAGTAATGTACCAGTAAGAAACAAACCTATATCCCCAGTCATTTAAAAAAGAACAGATAAATTATGGTAGGTCAGATGCAAATACATGTGTATTATGAAGCCATTATCTCACAGCAAAGAGATGGGGTAGAGGAGTGACCATTTCCTTAGCTAGAAAAACAACAACAACTGGTATCTGTACTGATGTTAAATATACTTGAAGGACATAATACACCAAGCAGTGATGGTTCAACCTCTCATATTAACTCAGACAGTAAGAGGATTGTTGCTACTTCTCTACTTTTATGTGTTACTCTATCATTCCTACTTGTCCTCTATTCAATCTGAGATAGGTATTTCAGGTTCTAAGGTCTGGTATATCTTCTCCAGTCCTCAAGATTAAGGAAAAGAATCTCAGGGCAAAGCCTTGAAAAGTTTGCTTGTTTAAATATTCATATCTCACCCCTTATCTGAAGGTCTCAGGGCAAGCATACACACACATGCGCATGCACACACACATACTCCTCATTTGTTAGATATTGTTTTTGATCTGAATGACAATATGCTGTGCAACCATGGTTGATGCTTAAAGTATTATGCTTAATGATACCACCAGGTGCTGATTCTTTTCAGGGCCTTGTCCTTAGGTCTTGAGTTTTTGGCACTGATAATTCAGGATCTAGGATAGTTCTGGGCTAGCAACACTACTTTGACAGGGTGGGGGATGGAGGCAGGCTCTGAGCAAAACAATACTTTTCTCAGAATTAAGCCATGTAGGCCAGTCACATCATGGGATGTTATCACATGGGGGAAATCTGTTGATTAATCTACACAAATCCGAAACAAAAACTGAATTTGTGCCTCATGATTTCACACGACGTCACACAG